AGTGGTTGGGGCCGTGGAGACAGTGGGGAGAGTGGAACCGCGGTGGGAACAGTTCTGGGGACAGCGGGGACAGTGCGACAGTGGTGGGGCCACTGGTGGGGACAGTAGGGGCGGTGGTGGAACCAGTGGGGACAGCGGTGGTGAGGACAGTGGTGCTGGGAACACCAGTGGGGGATGTGATGCGGACGGTGGTGGGGACCGGGAGTCGTTTGCTGGCGGTGAGTAGGGGGAGGGGGGGGGAGGGGGTTCGAACCGGTAGGACCCCCCCCCCGGTTTTCCGGATCCGAAGGGGGGGGGGGGGTGAGGAACCGGTAGTGACCCCCCCCGGTTTTCGAGCGGGAGGGGGGGGGGAGGGGGAAGGGGTAGGGGGGGGGGGGGGGTGCTGGGGGAGAGGGGAGGGGGGGGGGGGGGAGAGGGGGGGGGGATTTTCGGAGGGGGGGGGGGGGGGGGCGACCCCCGGGCTCCGGAGGAAAAAGTTTGCAATTTTCCACAGTAAAGCGGCGGTGGATCACGCTCTCTCCAATGAAGCTCAGCCTTCAGTTTCTTGCGAATACGCACGAGCATGATCAACGGTTCAGAGAGGTAAGGACGACGGGTGCGTATACATCCCCTAGCAAAGCATAGGTTGGCCTGTTCGTTGATAAACGTGGTGGCCTGCTGCAGCTGAGTGTTAACATTACATTTCCACGTTTCAAGCACATACCCTTCGCACCTGAAACGAAAGCCCCTCCTCCTAACGAGGTCCTTGAGCTTTTCGCGATCTAAGGGGGGGGGGGGGGGCTACCTTTGGGCTTAAGGGCCGAGACGGTCCATTCTAGGGCGCCAATAACAGGGAAGTGGCCCTCGTGGTCCCTGAGGACCTCCAATCCATGATCAAACGTGGTGCCACTGCCACTTAGGTAACCTGCGAAGTTCCTGTCAAGGGGAATGCAATCAATCCTGGTAGGTCCTTGACCTTTGGAGGCGAATGCGCTGCCTTCTCCAGCGCATTGAAACGCGCCGGCAGCAACGATGTTCTGCCCTGAAAGAAATTGATGCGTGCACTCTCCGATGGCGTCTTCTTCTTCCACGAGGCCCGCCTGCCCAACACTCTCGGAGGGCACTGATCCCAATGACGCATTGCCATCAATGAGCGTGATCCCGAAGGGCCATTGATCACACAGACGGCCGAGTTCTTCCCAAAACTGCACACGCTCAAGGAGGGGGCGCCTTCGGTGGGGGGGGTGAGCCACGCAGATATCACAGAAGGCCAGGGGCACTGCAGCGAACAATGAGCACACGGGGCACAGCATGTAAAACTCTAAAGTGTTCAGCCTTGAAGAAAACGTCGTCTCCCTTGACGGTGCCGTAAGGGACGCGCAGGTCCACCCAGAGCTCAGTGCCGAGATTGTGCTAGAGATGCCCCGAGGAGAACCTGAGGTGGACCCCTCCCGAGATTCCCTTCAGCTGTTTCTCGCCACGGCCTTCCTGAATCCCCACCGGGGCCACTCCCGCCTGATGGAACCGTTCTTTGACAAGGTTCAGAAGATGAAACCTGATGGCACCCTTAGTGCCTCGACGACGCTCTTCACGAGCAGACTGCGGATTGCACGCAGCTACCTTCAACTGCACATGAACAGAGATCTCGCCCAGAGGTGGTTGGGAGTCGAGCTGCTGCGCATGCTGGTCAGCGACCAGAAGTTCAGGCGTGGGGGCCGTCATGGTGGTTTGCCCATTGACAACGTTGAATCGTGGGTAGGCATGCGCATCCGAGCCCTGGAGCAACAGCCATTCCCACTTGCGAGCAACATGAGATTGGACCGCCTGCACCAACCTAGTATCTGGGGGGGGCCTTAGTTTCCCGAGAGCAGTGGCTTTGGCCACGTTGTCGGCGAGAACGTTCCAAGCATGGCCTGCGTGGGCCTTGATGTGGTTAATTTGACACTGAACTTGCGATCGGGCGTACCTGCACACAGACTCAAGGAGCATGGCTAACTGGCAATCACACGCAGGCCTGCCGCGCCCCTGTGCAGCACCTAAAGCAAGGAGAGAGTCGGCGTGGATGGTGATCACGAACCTGGATTGCACTTGCACAAGCCAAAACAGACACCATATAATTGCAAGGCATCCGGCGGTGGTGCTCGTGCTCCCTGATGGCAAAATCTCCATGGCACTGATATGCTGAACTTCCCCCCTTCAGATCCCCTGTAAGGATAATCCCCTCTCATCCTTAGCTACAATAACTACTGCCCATGCCCCCCTCCCTTCCCCTCACGCGTAGAGGGAGCCGTCAGCGCACAGGCGGAGGCTGTGCAAAGCGCACTCGCGGCGCGGGCAGGTGTCCAGGGCGAGCTCGGCCTCTGGCTCGAGAAGGCCCGAGTCGTCGAGCTCCTGCTAGTGAAACAGTTCTAGCTCCTGCGCGCACGCTTCCTGAAGGACTGACCGAAGCGTCGGCGGAGCAGGGAAGCTGCACTTGACCATGTCACGCGCGCTCTGCTGCAACTCGTCATGCCGCTGGATAGCGCCTTGAGCGTCGTCAAGACTAGACTTATCCAGGGCGTCGCGGCCGACGGATGTGACCTCGGAAGGAACCTGGACATCACTATTACCCCTTGATGTCGGAGTGGTAGAAGCATGCATGGGCCGAGCACCTGTGCGCGTCAGCCCTGGGTCTTGCGCCTCGGAGCTTCCCCCCTGCTCGGAGGCGCCTGACTCCCCACCCTGCCCTCGAATTAAGCTCCGGGTGTTGGGGGCAGCTGGCAACGCGGATTGCCCTACGGCCTGCTTGCCCCGCAGCCTTCTCAAAACTGGCTTGACTGGCTGGTTACTCTGCGTCGCCTCGGCAAAAGACGCCTTACGCTGGAGCCGCGCATCAAGCTGGCGAACAGAGATCACTTCAGAAACTACACAATAGACTTTCTTGACTGAGCGCGCGGCCTGCCTACCTACTGCTTGTCGACCCACTGCAGGAGGAAGCACGTCGCCCGATCCAGCTCTTGGAGGCGCGGATGCCCCCGCCACTGGAGACAACACGCATGAGGACGACGGGGGAAGGGGATCAGCGTCCGCTCAATCACGCTGGCGACGAGAAGAGTCGCCGTCACGTAGCCATCGTCCGCGACCTGTCATGGCCCATGTAGGTCGAGCGCTGGTCGACTCTAGAGCTGGGCAAGCGTGGGATCGTCCAGGTACTCCTCGTCGTAGCCATCCGGCCTCTGCTGCTTCCTCGGATGCGTCCTCGACTGTTCCCGCGGCTGCTCTGTGACTGGACTGATGGCGGCCCTGGGATGTCTTCCGATGGCTGGGAACGCCGCATCGGTTGAGTCGGTGACGGCGCCTCCCAATATTCGACTTGTGTGCCTGGTACCTGTCCCCCCCACATCTGTGTTGGCGTGGGCGTGGCAGGAGCTGGCATCGCTGAGGCTGTCGTAGTCGGCGGTGGCTCGCTCGGAGATCTCAACGGCGGTGGTGGCGAGCTCTCCACCTCGATGGCTGCGGGAAAAACTGGAGCCGATGCAGGGGGAGTTGGCGTCAGCTGCGACGCCTGTGAAGCCTGCGGAGTGGGGTGGGACTGCAAGGCCGCGGCCACTTGTGATGGCGTGGCCGTTGCACTTGGAGGAACTGGCTTCTTCTTGTCTGGGTTGCCGAGCTTTGCCATGAGCGCGGTCGAGATGTCTGCCAAAGCGCGCTCGAGATTCCGGTACTGCTGCTGCATCGTCGCCATGTCCTGTGCCATCTGCAAAACGAAAGAGCTGTCGACCACAGGTGCTGTCGAAGATGGCGGCCCAGCAGGTCCAGAACAATATGAGAACGGAGATGGCGGCTGCGGCCCGAAGGGCCCCACTAGTCCTCCTGGAGTGACCGCGGGGACCTGACGATGAGGCTGATGCCGAGGAGCTTGATGCATGTGGGCGTCTTTCATGGCCTTGTCGTCTTCGGTGCCTCTGTCGATGAAATCGATGTGCTCCTGCACCGTCTCGAGCTCGTCCTGCATGGTGTTCTGCTGGTGGATGAGGTCGTCGATATTGATACTGCTGGCCTCCAGCCTCTCCTCTAACAATTCCTTGCGCGTGGTGGCGTTCTGGAGCTGGAGAGCAAGAGGCTTGAGCAAGGAGACTGCGGACGTGAGAACACCGATCGTTGTCTTGACGTCCTGGTGGTCCGTGCCCGCCTGACCTGCAGCATATGCCATGAGGCATAGACTGTGTATCTTCTCGAACGCTTCCTTCCTGAACTTGCCAACTTCGAGCGGGTCGTCGGAACTGGGAGGAGCTTGCCATTTGGGATGTTGTTTTGCTTGGGTGGGCGTGGCCATGGGAGTTTTTGAAAGTACCTTCTGGACAATGGACTTGTTGACTTGCAAGTGCATCTGCTCCTTTCTCGACGCACTCTGGGACCTCGGTGGATGTCTGTGCGCCGAGCTTGAGCGAGGCACACCCTTGCCGTAGTCCCAAGCCTTGCCCTTGCCTGTGTTCCTGGACTTGCCCTTGCCTTTCTGCATCGGGTACCAACTGTTCTGTGGCCTCTCCATTCCACATAGGCAGAAACGATGATAGCCCTTGACTGTTCTGAAGCATCGATCGCATGCCCATGTGGTCATGTGAGTGGGACTGAAAAGGAGATGCGGGTATGTTACCGAACTGCTATGGCTCCTCCAGGAGCTCACTGAAAAGGAAGACTGGCGCTTCGCCCTTGTGTCGCGGGCCGAGCTCCACGCCAGTCGTGGGGCTCTCTGCAGCAACTCGATAAATGTTTTACTTGAGCCAAAATGGCTTGAGCCAAAATGGCTACGGTTCTCCTCCTCCTCCTCCTCCTCCTCATCCTCCTCCCCTCTCATCTGCCTCCGCATGCTCGCCCGCTGTGACTCACTACATGTGTCCTCCTCACATGTCCCGTCAGCTCTCATGGGCAGCGTTTTCTGAATGTGCGGGTGGGGATACGCGAAGCGTAAAGAATTCATGCCCCTTGGGCATAGCAGGCAGAGTCAATACCCTGCGCTGGCGGCGCTTCTTGAGCGCAGCCTGACATGTGCCGCCCTTCGAGGGCCGCGCGGCCGGGGCGCATGAGAGCTGGTATGGCAACTCGCGGCGCACTGAAGCGCAGGCGGCAATGGCGACACGTGAGGGGAGGTGGGAAGGGGTGCAGGGAACGAGGAGGGTCGGGGGAGACAGGGGGTAATGAGCGGGAGGACGGGGTGGGGGGAGGGAGGGGGGGGGGCTGGCGGACGCACACCAGCACAGCTGTCGGCGGTGGGCCGCCGACTGCCCGCAACCCGTGCGGCCGAAGACCACTGCGACAACCCCTGGCGGCTCCCCCTTGGGGTGCTAAAGCGGGCGTCTTGCGCAGGACATCCTCACATTCCGCTCTGACATCATAAGAGTCCCAGCCACGAAACGAGCAAACCGCCTGGGACATCCCCACGATCCAGCCGCGAACGGGCGAGTATAACACTCCCTGGCGCCCCCCCCTTGGGGTGAGGGAGTCTGAGTGTGAATGAGTCTAAGAATGGAGTCCGCGTGGAGTGTCCGAGTATGAGCGAACAGAATGTACGTGAGTCCGGGTATGAGAAGTCCGAGTGTGAGTCCGCGTGGAGTGTTCGAATATGACTGAACCACCAGGAAGGCCTACGCACCCCAATACTGCCCAAAGAAGCCCCAAAGGAGCCAAAAAGAAACCCAAGAGGCCCTCAGACGGTGCCCAAGAGAAGCCAAAGAAGGCACGGGGGGGCCCCAGAAAGGCCATGGGAGGCCACCAGGAGGGCCTCCGTAGCCCCCGTAATGCCCCTAGAGGACCCAAGCTCCCTAACACGGCCCAAGATGGCCCCAAACGGCTCAACAGGGCGCCAAGCCAGCCCGCCTGGGCTCCAACAAAACCCACACGGCATCGTCCCTAAAACTGACCCGATTTTCGGGTTCGCAATCACCTTTCCCGAAAATCAGTTGCGAACCCGGAATTCGGTCCATTACTTGCGAATTACTCACGTGCGCGGCACCCCGTTGCGACCCGCTGCAACATGACATCCTCGGCTTGGCAATGCTTTGTACTTTGCAACATTGTTTAGCATTGAGTCGGTTTGCGTGACATTGCCTCCCCCTGCTCCTCCTCCTCCTCCTCCTCCTCCTCCTCCTCCTCCTCCTCCTCCTCCTCCTCCTTTTCCTCATATTTCTGCCGCTCCACCACTCGTCCTGCCCCACATCAGCTGCCCTCCCTCGCTCCCCGACACTCCCCCCCCGATCCTTCGCCCTCCACCCAGCGCCTTTTCGGGGGGCCCTGGAAGCCCTGGAAGGGCCAGGGACCGCCCGAACTTTCGAAGACTTCTGCAAACCACCGCAGCGCAGGGGTCAAATTCCACGGCCACTAGGGATGGCGCGTACGCCAACATATGCAAAGCCTAAAGGACCTAGGTGCATGGCGCGAAGCGCCAATGCAGTCTTGTATATCAGAGTGAGGGGGCCGAACGGTCATTCATTGTCCCTGGGTGGGTGGCTGAAGTGGGAATCCGTGCTGAGGATTATACTCGTTATGTTGTTGCTGCTATTGCTGCTGTTGCTGTTGAAGCTGTTGTTGCTGTTGTTGTTGCTGCTGCTGTTGCTGTTGCTGTTGCTGTTGCTATTGCTGTTGGTGTTGTTGTTGTTGTTGTTGTTGTTGTTGTTGTTGTGTTTGTTGTTGTTGTTGCTGTTGCTGTTGCTGTTGTTGTTGCTGTTGAATTCTCATTTCTGAAGAATAATTCTTGTTGATCCCCCCACCGGTGCATACTGTTTTTTCTTAATCAAAGTGTGCCCCTCGACGCTCGCACCCTGCTTTTTGATAGGGAGAGTCTTCCTGCTCAAACTGGGCCCCTGGCCCCCGGGTTACAACAACAACGGTTCCCGCTTTAGACTTCCTTACACTGTAGCCAGGACCCCCGCTCCCGCCCGAGACTTCTTTGCATTTTATTCAGGAATCGCGCTCTCGCTTGGGATTTCCTGAAAATTTATTCAGAAATCGCTCTCCCGGCGCTCTGGAGTCGCGCTCTCGCTGGAGACCTGCTTGCAATTTACTGAAGAATGGCCTTGCGTTGAAATGTCCTGCAATTTGCCCAAGCGCCGCGCTCCCGACACCCAGGCACCCAGGAGTCGCGCCCGTTGTGGCCCCATGTGCGTGCCCTTCGTGGCCCCGCTGTCGCCATTTGTGTCCCCCTCACTGTCCTACGTGGCCCAGTTGCTACCCTCAGTGGCCCCATAGTTGCCTTCTGTGGCCCCGCATTTTCTGCACTTCCTTCTGTGGCCCCGCATTATCTGCCTTTCGTGGCCCCCGCTCGTTCGCGCTCTTCGTGGCCCCATACGCATTCCCTTCGTTCGCCCTTCGTGGCCTACTTCGTACCATTCGCGGCCCTGCTGTCGTTCTCTCTCGCTCTCGCTTTCGCTCGTCGTCGCCGTCGTCGTCGTCGTCGTCGTGGTCGGTCCCCTGTCCGTCCCTCTTGGGGTCGGGTCGACGGCCCGCGGCCGCCCCGCCGATCAGCGCTGCCGCTGGCCAGGCCGACGGTCCGCGGCCGCCCCGCCGCTTGCCGGGGCCCGGCCTGCAGGGAAGAAAGGTATACCCCCCAAAAGGGGTTCGATCGAAGACGAAGAGGGTGGGTATCGAGGGTTTGGGAAATACGCGTTATTGGACACTCGAGCATATAAGGGCGAACAGTCTTGAAAATATTGTTGTTGTTGATGTTGTTGTTGATGTTGCTGTTGTTGATGATGTTGTTGTTGGTGGTGGTGGTGTTGTTGTTGGTGTTGTTGGTGTTGTTGGTGATGCTGTTGTTGGTGTTGTTGGTGTTGTTGATGTTGATGATGTTGTTGTTGTGGACGTGGTTGTGGTTGTTGTTGTTATTGTTGTTGTTGGTTGTGGTGGTGGTGTTGTTGTTGTTGTTGCTGTTGCTGCTGCTGTTGCTGTTGTTGTTATTGCTGCTGTTGCTGTTGCTGTTGCTGTTGCTGTTGTTGTTGTTGTTGCTGTTGTTGTTGCTGCTGTTGTTGTTGTTGCTATTGTTGTTGTTGTTGTTGGTGTTGGTGTTGGTGTTGGTGTTGTTGTTGTTTGTCGTCG